ATGTGTCTCTCTCCTCCATCACCAGGGGGGAAACATCGCGCTGTGACTGCACAGTGCAATCCCACACCTGGAGTCTCAGGGAGTGCAGTTTTGCCCTTCGGCCCCCCTTCCCCCCCGACCGCTGTGTTTTCATGGCCCTGAGGGCCATCGGCAGAATGCAACTCGCGTACAGGATGAACCCAGAAGCTGGGAGATCTCCGGCTCGCTCGCTGAGGGCAGGGCGGGGCGGGGGGGCGGTGGGGTCGTGTGTGAATATCGGATGGGAGGTCTGCAACGGAGGTCACAGTCTTTGGAAACGCCAAATCGATATCCCGTTTCCCAGCTCGTGGACAGCACAGAGCAGGCGTGACCCCAGACACTGACAAACACAGAGGGGTAGGTCCTGTGAATGGGCCGGAGGTTTGCACCTTCCCCCCACCCCCAACCTCGTATTGGGTAAAGGTCGGGGGGATTACCCGTTCAGCTCATAGATGAGGGGTTTGCCTCTTGAAGGGAGAACGGGGGGGGGGGGGCGGGGGCTGCTCAACACTCAGATTTCCAATGGAGATGCAGAGAAACTGCTTCTCTCAAGAACACTCATAAATCTGTCAATTTTACTAACCTCCCCCCGCCACAGTGCTGGGGGTGGAGGGTTGGGGGAGCGACAGGACGCTCAGTAAATGCCGGAGGGAGCAGGGCAGCATTTTTAATGAGCCACGCGTGTGAAAGCTAACAGGTGGGAAAGCATCACTGAAGCTGGGGCGAAAACCAGCCACGATCATACGGAAGGGCAGAAGAGGTTTGGGTTGAGGACGGAGCGGCCCATTCCTGTTTCTCCTGATCCTGACTGCTCCTCCAAATTCTTGGCCCAAATCCTCCTGCCTTTGCTCCCCATCCTGCAACGCGCGACAGACCTGGGCTCAGAGATAGGGCCAGCTACACCCGTTTGCCCGGGGAGCCGTGGAAGCTCTTACAGTCCGGTTGGAGGTTGCTCGAGAGCTCGCGTTCACGTCCTGCTCTGCGCAGGAGGGGGACAGGTGAAGGGTGGGGGATTTCATGCAAACGTACACCATTCTCCCCGCCCCAAACTGACCCCCGCCCCCAGCACATCAGGGATGGTCCCCGTGTGGACTGGACCTTCACATGACCCCGCTTTCTCACCTTTGTTGACGGCCACATCAATGGGAACAGGGAGCTGCATGATGTAGTCGACCCGCTGTGTGTACTTGACCTTCCCGGATGCCAGGCAGTTGATGCGCTCCTCCACCAGGAAGCGGAAGGCCTCGTTGGGATTCTGCGAGCTCCGGCAGTTCCGCTGGGAAACCCAGGGGAGAGACAGACACAAGGGAAGGATTACTCTGTGCACTGGTACAGGGCTATGGGGGGAGAGCGCGGGGGGCAGTGGGATTAGTTTGGGGATGGATACAGGG